TGATTAGGAAGAAATATTCATGAATAACATTAGAATCTAGAAGAAATAAACAAAGTTTAAGGAAGTATCTAAAGTTCACAGAACACATTCTAAAACAAGATTCACAAAAGGAAAGATCATTACAGAATATCACACAAGTGAGTGATAGATTGCTACTGGTAGGGGAATGCCTCGTACGTTGTGTCATAGTCCTCATTTCTAAGACCTAAATGGGGGCGCAAAACAAAGGTGAGTGGACCAATTTCATATATATAATAATAATAAAACAATTATCAAGATACTAACCCCCATAGTTTATATAAAGAAAACTACTAGCATAATAAGTGATGAGTTTAATGAAAATCCTAGCATGCCAAAAATATCTCAAGAGACATATCGTGGAACATAAAATATCAAACGTCTCATAAATCGTCTCTTAGTGTAATGTACTACTAGTAAGATCACTGAATAAATATATATCTCCCGGCCCTATGCCAGCACCGTGGTCTCTGCGCCCGTAGCCAAAGATTACTCGGCCCAATGCCTGCTCTGTGTCCCTCAGCCCGTAACTAGGGATTATTTCTCCCTGCCTAACTGCCAACACCAGATCCTCGCCCCAGGCGGCATAGTGTCCACTAGGTACACACAAATAGTTACGCCTCTCATAAATAACCACTTCATAGTATAAAGTCATCCATCATCTATACTATAAAGAGGGGTTTCTAAAACATGTTCTAGCATCTTATCGTCATCCATTAGATAGTCTACCAGTTCATGGTTTTTATAAAAAATACGATATTTTACAATATAGTTCAATATAGGCCAACAATTAATTCCTCACAAAAAACGAGACGATAAATAACATATTTCATAAATCTGCTTAACATAAAATCAGTTAATAACTCGTAAGGCATGCATTTCATTTATGCAATTAAACTATGAAATTATGCAAATTTTAGAAAGGGTCCATTCACAGATACTCCTTAGCAGTAGAGTTGTGCGGATAAGGATTAAGAATTTCCTCACTAGCAACTTCACCTAAGCACAAAAATGTACAATTTATTAAACTACCCAACTGTAGAATTTCAAGAATTGGAAATGGGTCTTGGGTTGAATGGTTAAAGCCTAATGGGTTTCGACAAAGGGTTTTGGTTTTTGGATAGGTTTAGGAATAAAAAGGATGGTTTGGGCTCGGTTTAGGTAAAGGGTTTTGGTTTTTGGATAGGTTTAGGAATAAAAAGGATGGTTTAGGCTTGAGCCCAAACCCACACCACACCCACATACCAGTACACACACACACACACACACACACACACACACACACACACACACACACACATACACACACACACACCTGCGCATACATACACACACACACATCACTGCACACACACTCACACACACGCACAACATGTGCATAGCCCAAAACACACACACACGCACAACATGTGCATGGCCCAAAACACACACATAACCCACACACATGCACAGCCCGCATGCCAATTAACTAAAAAGGGATAGGGCTGGTCCAAGAATGGACTAAGGGCCGTGGTGATTAGAGAAGGCCTAATGGCCTGGTGTTTGTGGGGTGTGCTCGGGGAAGAACACTGGAGCTGTTATAGCTCCGGTCGACGGCAAACTCGAATTTCAACACCTAACCTAGTACCAAAATAAAGAGGGAAAATGGTTGAATTGATGGGAACAGAATTATACCACTTAGAGTATCAATTGTGGTTGAGAATGGCGAGGTGGATCTCGAAACTCATCGGGTTTTTCTCATCGGGTTCTAGAAAATAGAAATATAAAACATGCATTGATTAGAACCTTCATTTGAACTGAGAAAGACTCAACAAAAATAGAAATAGAGTAGTGAGCCTCGCATGAGTTCGAGTTTCAGATGTTTGAAGCTCTCGGCTTCAATGGTAGAACACACAGAGGTGTTCTACCAATGCATGCAGGGTTATAGTTGTGTTCCTCGAGCTCCTAGGATCCTAGATATGAGGTTAACTGTTGGTTTTGATTAATTTTCGAAGGGAAGAAAACAAGAGCTCTCGGAGCTCTAGGGTGCGTGAGGTTTCCCGTGAGAAAGAGAGAAATCTGAGAGAGAAAGCATGGGAAAAAAGGGAAGAGAAGAGCTAAAAAATTGCCACTTGGCAGTTTATGAGGAATAAGGAATCTAGATCAAGGGTTAGGATTAAAAGAGAGGGATATTGGTTCCGCATTGATTCCTCTATTTCCCAAGTAGCTTCTTCGACTGCATGATTCCTCCACAGTACCTTTACCAAAGGAATAACTTTGTTTCGCAACACTTTATCATGTCTGTCAAGGATAGCCACTGGTTCTTCTACATAGCTAGCATCCAGATTTACTTCCAATGGCTCTATCCGGATGATATGAGAGGGATCTAGTACATATTTCCGAAGCATGGAAACATGGAAAACGTTATGAATCAGTGATAACTTCGGTGGTAGCTCCAACCTATAAGCAACTGCACCAATTCTCTTAATAATCTGATAGGGACTGACGTATCGAGGACTCAGCTTTCCTCGCTTACCAAAACGGACAACACCCTTCCAAGGAGACCATTTCAAGAACACAAAGTCGCCCACTGTAAACTCACGATCCTTGGATCGTTTGTTTGCAATGCTTTTCTGTCGATCTTGTACTGCTTTCAAATTCGCCTTAATTAGTTGGATATTAGCGTTGGTGGTATCCACAATCTCTGGTCCCATCAACGGCCTTTCTCCTGCCTCTGTCCAACATAATGGCGTCCTACACGCCTTCTTGTAAAGTGCTTCAAAAGGCGCCATACCAATACTCGAGTGATAACTATTATTGTATGCAAACTCCACCAACGACAAATAGTTATCCCAGCTGCTTTTCCACATTAACATCGACACTCTCAACATGTCCTCTAAATTCTGAATCGTCCGCTCGAATTGACCATCAATTTGTGGATGATAAGCAGTGTTGAACAGTAACTGAGTACCTATAGCGGCATTAAAGGCTTTCTAAAACCTGGAAGTAAATCTGGGATCTCTGTCTGACACAATGGAGACGGGTACACAATGTAGACGAACAATATTATTGACGAATAATTTCGCCAATTTCTCCAGCGAGTAGGTCTCTCGAACTGGTAAGAAATGAGCGGTATTGGTAAGCCAATCGACAATTACCCAGATACCATCATACCTTGATGGTGTTCTAGGCAGCCTGTACACAAAGTCCATAGTGATTTCCTCCCACTTCTAAACTGGTATCGGAAGATTCTGCATCAGTCCCCCAAGTCTTTGTATGTCTACTTTAACCTGTTGACAGATTAAACATCTACTCACATACTCTGCTATGTCCTGTTTCATCCCTTCCCAGTAATAGAAAGGATAAATGGTGCGATACAATTTAGTACTTCCTAGATGCACAGCATAAGCTGAAGTGTGAGCCTTATCCATAATTTCCTTTTTAACAGCTTCATTATCTTTAGGCATGAACAAACGGTTCCCTTTCAATAACGCTCCGTCCTTACGAATGATGAATTTATCATTATCCCCCTTCAACACTTGTTCCTTTAATTCGGCGCATTCTGGATCAAGTTCATGAGCTTCTACGATTATGTCTACAAAGATAGGTCTAACCTGAAAATGTGCTAGCCAAGCTCCGTGCTCACCTGGTTCCAAATTAACGCCAGTTTCCCGAAGAGAAGATAGTAATTGAATGTGCACAGCTTGAAGTGATGCAAGCTGCTCGTGATGTTTTCGACTAAGAGCATCAGCCACGGCATTAGCATGCCCATGATGGTACTCGATCGAACAGTCATAATCACTGATAAGCTTCATCCATCTTCTCTATCTCAAATTCAACTCTTTCTTGGTGAACATATACTTAAGACTCTTATGATCTGTAAAAATACGACATTTCTCTCCATGTAGGTAGTGCCTCCAAATATTCAAAGCGAAAACCACTGCTCCTAACTCCAAATCATGAATAGGATAATTTCTTTCATGGGTTTTGAGTTGTCTAGAAGCGTAGGCGATAACTTTTCCATGCTGCATCAGTACACACCCAAAACCTGATAGAGAAGCATTAATATACACCTCAAATTCACCACTGTTATCAAGAGGAGCGAAAACAGGGGCCTGAGTGAGGCGTCGCTTAAGCTCCTGAAAACTTTGTTCACAATTTTCATCCCATACAAACTGGACACCTTTACGACTCAATTTAGTAAGAGGTAGAGTAACTGCAGAAAAATTCTGAATAAATCTTTGATAATACCCTGCCAAACCTAAGAAACTTCTCACTTCGATGACATTCTTCGGTTGTTCCCAGTTAGACACTGCTGACACTTTTTGGGGATCCATACTAATTCCTTTAGCAGAAACTATGTGCCCAAGAAAACCAACCTGAGTTAATCAAAATTGGCACTTACTGAACTTGGCATAAAGTTGGTTGTCCCTCAGTCGTTCCAACACTAGTCTCAAATGCTTTTTATGCTCATTCACACTTCTAGAATAAATTAGAATGTCATCAACGAACACAATCACAAACCAATCCAGATACGGTCTAAAGACTATGTTCATCAAATCCATGAATGATGCAGGTGCATTTGTCAATCCGAAAGGCATGACACGAAATTCATAATGCCCATACCTCGTACGGAAAGCAGTTTTTAGGACATCATCCTCGCGAATCCTCAATTGATGGTAACCCAATCGAAGATCAATTTTTGAAAATATTTGAGCACCTTTCAATTGATCAAACAAATCATCGATCCGAGGCAGAGGGTAACGATTTTTCACCGTCACCTGATTCAGTTGCCTATAATCGATACAGAGTTTCATTGATCCATCCTTTTTTCTAACAAAAAGAATAGGAGCTCCCCACGAGGATGTACTCAGCTGGATATAACCTTTGTCTACCAATTCCTGGAGTTGGATCTTCAATTCTCTCAACTCTGCTGATGCCATTCGATAAGGTGCCAAGGAAATATGATTTGTACCTAGGAGTAAATCGATAGTGAACTCAATTTACCTCGCAGGTGGCAACCCTGGTAAATCATCAGGAAACACATCGATGAAGTTCCTTACAACTGGCACTTCTTCTGGACGTAAAGAAGGTTCATTCTTCACAACTACGTGGGCTAAAAACCCCACACAACCCTTATTCAACAACCTAGTTGCTTGAATGGCAAAAATAATACTATTGGGGAGGACACGTCGCTCACCCATAAATGTAGTTGCTGGAAGTTCTGGCCGATTGAACGTCACAATTTTCTCCCAACATGCGACATTCGCTCGGTGCTTAGATAGCCAATCCATTCCCATAATGACATCAAACTTCGCCAATTTGAAATGAATTAAATCAATCTCTAAGTTTTCCCCTTCAACAATAATTGGACAATTCTGATATTGCCATTGAGCACAAAACAATTCACCACTTGGCATTTGAATCAGCATATCAAAACCTAGTGGCTAAGGTTGAGAAGGTATAACCCAAGCAAAAGATGAAGAAGCAAAAGACTGTGTAGCACCCGGATTAATTAAAACTTTAGACCAAGTATTACAGACAGGTAACGTACTGGTGATAACTCGAGGATCCTGATCAGCCTCCTGCTGAGTCTTGGCGTTCATACGTCCATGAACCTAATACCCAACATTATTGTTTCGACAGCCACGACTTCTGGAACCACGTCCTGCTCTTTTCCCATGATTACTATTACCATAAGATGTTCCAGCTTGCTGCTGAGTCGAAAACTGAGCACTCCGGTTGTCACTCCCTCTAAAACTCTGACTTCTGGCCGTCCTACCATGCCTATGTTGGCATTTTAGATGTTGGTTCATGGTATAGTATGCTTCAGGCACAACAATTGCCCAGTAGGTCTAGCTTGATGATTTTTCATCAACAACTGATTCTGATTTTCAGCGAGAAGTAAAACAGAGATCAAATTCGAAAACTTAGTAAACTTCTTAGCCCTGTATTATTGTTGCAAGACAATATTAGTAGTAGAAAAGGTCAAATAGGTATTCTCCAGAAGATCATCTTCGGTCAAGGTCCCGTTACAGAACTTGAGAAGTGATTGGATTCGACAAACTTCAGAATTATATTCATTCATAGACTTAAAGTCTTGGAAGCGCAAATGCTGCCAGTCATGTCTTGCTTCAAGCAAGAAGACGTCCTTTTGGTGATTAAAGCGATCAGCCAAAGCGACCCAAAGTGCTCGTGGATCTTCCTTAGTAAGGTACTCGGTTTGCAGTGCATCATGAATGTGTCTTCAGATGAAGATCATGGCAATGGCTTTCTCAGCTCCGCTAACCGAGTTATCCGCCTCATCTTCAATGGTGCAACACAATTTCTTTACTGTGAGGTGGAGCTTCAAATCTTAGACCCACTTGAGGTAGTTTCTTCCAGAGATCTTTAAAGCGGTGAAGTCGAGTTTGTTCAAATTCGACATGTTCCTATCACAAAAGAAATGGACAAGATGTGGTTAGTGTAATGAAGAAAAAATCAATCCATTCACATAAGAGTAGAATATTCAGGTTCTAATAGACATGCATTGGTTTAAATTTTTATGAAAAAAACTTTGGGGTTTCATGGGTGATGTTTTTAAGGAAAATTTCAGGTTTTCAAACAAGTCATGTTTCTAGACACTATAGGTTTCAAAATAATTATGAACTTCGGGTTCATATGTTCCTGTAGACAAACACAAATATATATATATATATATATATATATATATATATATATATATATATATATATATATGCAACAAGAAAATATGCAAATAGATTTTCAAGTCTTGATAATAATTGAATTAATTATTTGGACTTCGGGCCAAAATTAAAGTGTGGGTGAAAAATTATAAAACCCAAATTGTCTATAAAAAAAAACAATTAAGCTCGGGGCCCAAAAACAGGGACCAAAACCCACGGGTGGGTTGAGCAAATTAGTGTCGTGGCCTAGGCCCAAAAAATTGGGCTAGATTGGGCTTGGGTTGATCAGGCCAAAAAACAGAGACCTAAAAAGGAGCTATGATTTGGTGAGTTGCGGACATATATACCTGGGCGGACGCAATTATGTGTGTCGCGGTACATAGGAGTACCATAGTTATGCGGAGCTGTGATCAGGTGTGTCACGATGCAGGTGCACCGACTCACCAGCTACTGGCTGGGATCTACTGCGATTCTATGCACGGGGACACCATAGCCTTACAGGCTGGTGTCGAATTGGGTTGACCTAATGGTTTAGGGCGCTGCAAGTGATCCCAAAAAGGAAAAAATAATTTTAGGCAGAGAAAACCAGGGCCCGATTTGGCTCAAGTTTGAACAAAAAACAACCCAACTTTGCTGGGTGTGGTCACTAGGGACGAAGGCCAGCGCCGCCTCTATAGGCAGCCGTGTGTGGAGCCAAAAATAATCCCAAAAATTCTAGTGGCGACACGTAAACTTTTATTCAAGAAGGACAAGATTGCCCTTAATAAATAGGCAGGCTTCTCAGATTCTCCCACGCGCAGCTCACATCCCTCAAGGACTCAGTAGCTGAACACAACTGCCTACAGCTCACTTGCCCATGGCAAGGAATTAAAGATAAGGATTAATTACCCAAATCCTATCTTTAATACTTTCCTGATTGAAGATTGACTCCAATCAAGTAAGTAATCCTAATTTAAACCAATTAAGGATTATTACCCGATTATCTCAAGATATTATCTCCTATTAGATATCTTGGGAATATTTAGAGAATATTTTCTCCATTAAACCCTATATGGCCGGCCTTAGCCCTATAAATACTCCATGTTTACAAATTTCTAAGAGCTTTTGACAACCTTAAAAAGCCTCAAAACACTTTACTCTCTCAGAGAAATAACTTAGGCATTGGAGATTCGTTGACCTAACCCCCCCACCTCGTGAGCGCATGAGGTTTAGGTCTTTGATCAAAGATGTTAATTGTTTTGCAGGTGCATTTTCGTCAAGACTGAAGACGACTAAAATTTGCATCCACACCGTGGTTTGGGATTAAAAATTCTCGGGGCGAGTTTGTAAGTTAACGGGGATAACGAATATGTACGGAGATAGAGAAATTTCAACGTTTCAACTAAAACCTTAGAAATTCAAATCGAAAATTTGAAAAATCTGACAAGATTCAATAGAATCTCAATTAAGCGTTGCCGGGGACGAGTTGCAGGTCGTCAAAACGTTGACCTGCGGGTGAGTATTGGTTATAGGCTAACCTACAACGATATGGACGCAGTGGAAGGAGTCAGGGTTTTGGGTTTGAACCTGGAGCCCATGGCTCTGGTGGTCTCGTAGCTTGGCATAGCCACAAAGGCTGCATGCTTGGTGTCACATCCCGGCCCAGGCCCGCACCACATCCTGGGCTCGACTCCACCGTAGCACGATATTGTCTGCTTTGGGTCCCGACCACGCCCTCACGGTTTTGTTTCTAGGAACTCACACGAGAACTTCCCAGTAGGTCACCCATCATGCGATTGCTCTCGCACGAACTCGCTTAACTTCGGAGTTCCGATGGAACCCGAAGCTAGTAAGCTCTCAAAAGGCCTCGTGCTAGGTAGAGATGGGAATATACATATAAGGCTTACAGGATCGACTCCCCTGGGCGATGTGGGATGTTACAATCCACCCCTTTAAGGGCCCGACGTTCTCGTCGGCACACTTCTAGCCAGGGATTAGCTCTGATACCAAATTGACACATCCCGGCCCATGCCCCCACCACATCTTGGGCTCAACTCCACCGTAGCACAATATTGTCTGCTTTAGGCCCCGACCATGCCCTTACTGTTTTGTTTCTGGGAACTCACACGAGGGTCACCCATCATGGGATTGCTCTCGCGCGAACTCGCTTAACTTCGGAGTTTCTATGGAACCTAAAGCCAGTGAGCTCCCAAAAGACCTTGTGCTAGGTAGAGATGAGAATATACATATAAGGCTTATAGGATCCACTCCCCTAGGTGATGTGGGATGTTACACCTGGTGCTGGTGGCTCGACTCGACGTGGCTTGGAAGTTAGCGGCACTCAGTGTGGGATGGTGACCGGATGGGTTTCAATAAACCCTAATTTTAATAATTTTTTTTCATATTATAAATTAATTCAATTTCAAGCATATTCAACATATAATTAATGCATGGACAGATATATGATGCAATTCATGACAATATCAATTCACATAATTCAATAATTATGGATATAATGCATACACAATTTATGTACAATCTAAAATTTGAAAAACGTAAAGTTGGGTCATGCATTATGGTGAATGTTTATGCTACCAGGGTTGCAAAAATATCGAGATAAAAACTGTTATTTTGAAAGAAACTGATTGTGTGATGATGTTGGTGAACTGATTTGAGACAGAAAACTTCCACGTCTGATTCGTATGCTCAATGTTAGGAGTGTGTTGATAACGTATTGTGACCTATATTTAACTCACAAGGAGAAGGGCCGGCGGCACAAAGAAAATATAGAGAGATATGTTTGTAGGGTTGTGTAGAGGATGTGGTATTCCCTTATGCAATGCCTTTATTTATAGTAATAAGGGAGAGAAGAAATCATTCTCCTTCAAGGAATACAAGTCCTAATAGGGAAGAATAGCTAGAATCAAATATAACCTAGGATTTACATTAGTCATTTGCAATTAAAAAGAAGGGTAAAGTACAAAAAACTACCTTGGTGTCATGACACTTTCATACCTCATCTTTTAAAATTGACAATCTCATACCTCATCTTACGAATTTGTGCCAATGTCAAACCTCCGTCAGTTTTTCTGTTAATTTCTCTGTTAAATGCTGACATGGCTCGACACGTATCCCACTCACTAATCCAACTTGATTAAAAAATAATTAAATATATTTTTAATAATTAAATATTCAAAAATTAAAAAAAAAATATATTAAATCTCTCTCTCTCTCTTTCTCTCCCCCCTTTCTTACCTCTCTCTCTTCTCTGCATCCCAGAAGACCCGAAACCCCTTCCCACTCGTCCTCCACCACCCTCTCTCTCCCCTTTCTCTCTCATCTCCACCGTAGTCTCTTTCCTCCCCACTTCTCTCTCTCGCCGTGCTCAGAATTGCCTAAACCCACCCAAACCCACATGGGTTTTTTCATCCGCTAAACTCTTGCCCATTGACTCGTCCCCCCAAACTCTTGCCCATTGACCCGTGTCCCCCCCACTACCCTACAGACTCGGACTTCGTCGCAAATCAGACCGGTTCCTAGTCCGAGTTCAGGTCGAAGCTGTCGTTTTGGGCGTCTAGGTGCAGATCGAGGGTGGCAGAGTGAGGGAGGCGGAGTAGTCGAGGAAGATGATGCCGTGGAATGGCGTCATTGCGATCTTCAAATCGAGGGTGGCGGAGTGAGGAAGGCGGAGTAGTCGAGCAATATTGGGTTCTTCGTTTTGGGGTTTTCGAATTGCGGCAACAATTGCTGCAATGGGAAGGTGGGTTTTGTTCCTAGGGGTCTAGGTCTTCTGGGATGTAGAGAAGAGAGAGAGCTGAGAAAGGGGGGGGGGGAGAGAAGATAGAGAGGGTGGTGGAGGACGGGTAGGAAGGGGTTTTGGATTGCAGAGAAGAGAGATGCGAGAAAGGGGGGAGAGAGAGAGGAGAGAGTGATAGAGATTTAATATATATATATTTTAATTTTTGAATATTTAATTATTAAAAATATATTTAATTATTTTTTAATCCAATTGGATTAGTGAGTGAGACACGTGTCGGGCCACGTTAGCATTTAACAGAGAAATTAACAGAAAAACTGACGGAGGTCTCACATTGGCACAAATTCGTAAGATGAGGTATGA